CAGAAGTGGTGGTCAGTCCTCTCGACGTTCGCCACGGCTTTCATCCAATCGGTCGACACTCGCGACGACCGCATGAAGGCATAGCCCGGCAGACGTCTCACCACCTGTTCTATGACTTCGATGGGCAGTGAGTCCATTGACTGCATTGGGGATCAGTTAGCAGTGATAGTGCGCTCAATAGTGAAGAAGTGGTCAACAGTTGGACACAAATGACCGCAATCTGTGAGACGAGCGATAGAACTGTGAATGCAATCACTTTTCAAACACAACATTGAGTCATGTGTTTACCACATGTTCACAACAATTACGACATATTTGATTGCATTGAGATGTCTATGAAAGTGACCACTAAGTGGTCACTAATTACAGAATGCACTGCAGAAGGGCACTAATGGACAGTCCATGTGCTCATTGACAGTGGGGTTCGGAATGTGGTGGTAACGGACCGTACATTACATATGATATTAGGTGTGAGTGTCACTCATATAACTATAAGTTTGTGAACTCTTTTAGAGGATAGTCACTGGAATCTCAATATTGATGAGAGGTTTGACGACATGTGATATATCGCCGCAAAGGTCTCATCGATTACTATAAGAATATCTATGAATTATATATTGTTTGATGTTTTTTGGGAACGGCTTCAATGAATAATATGTAATCATTTGACGACAGTTTTGATAAGTTTAAAAAAAACTTTTATTAACAATTAAAAGGCGGTTCTTAAAAGGTAATACGTTTCTAAACAAAATAAAACTTGTATAGAATTAATCTTAATTATATAACTAATAAGTTTGGTAGGGTGAGCCGTGCCAATACGGCCTGGCTGATTTTATATGAATTTTTCATTATATAATTATTCTCTATGTCATTTGTATATAAAGCAATATTCTTGTATTTTAATTGCTATTTCATTCAATGAGTGTATTTTATGAGTAATATTATAATTCAATCAGTTTCACCAAGATTATTAGTAATACCTTTAGTAAAATACATACTATGAATAGTTAATTATTGAAATGTTTTAATTCAAACAAATAGTGAATATACTGTATGAATGAATGTCAACATTAGCCACTATACTTTATACTTATAATGTACAATACATGTATTACTTGTATTACTAATAATCTTGGTGAAACTGATTGAATTATAATATTACTCATAAAATACAAATTCATTGAATGAAATAGTAATTAAAATATAATTACTTATATTATGATTTTAAAACAAACTTATCTAAGCTTTTACTCGACTTGGCACTGGGATTGACCAAATTTCAAGTCTACATAGGGGTAGACTTATCCCTTAAAGTAGTGTTTTTACAAAACAATCATTAGTATAGTGGTTATTATCCCCGCTGTCACGCAATGGACAACGATCTAACACTCATCCAAGACATCAATCTCATCATGACATCAGTCCGTGAAAAGACGACATATTTGGAGTGCAATCCATTGGATCAATACCCAGAAGAAGCGTTCCGGAAGAGTTATAGGATGTCCAAAAAGTCATTTCAAGACCTTTTATGTCTTGTCAAACAAGATCTTGAAGCGCTCTCACAAAGAGGACATCCAGTTCCCGCAGATAAGCAGCTCCTCATCGCACACCGTTATTATATACCACCGGATCGATGCAGATGGTCACCGGTGAGTTTGGCATCACTTTGCTCCACAATATGGCCGAATTCGTACTCATATTTTCGGTGCCAATAAGCTGTCTCCCCATAGAGCTCACCCATCATCGCTCTGTTCTTCCCCTCATTTCCATTATCTCATCACAACAGGAGTGGCGGGAAGTTGCGGTCGCAAAAAGAATCTCTCTTTAGCCGGTGTTTGATGACATTCCTGGCCAACGACTTCGACTTCTTGGGCACCACCTTCATGGCCATTGACTTCATTGGCAGAGGAAAGTTTGATGATCTCATCCCCATGGTCATCCTTATCGCCATCATATGGATTCTCCAAGGGGTTCAGATCATCGCCCACAATGTCGGCAACATTGGCGCTCATAGCAGGCATTGGATCTTCTTGGACACCACCACTGCTTTTTACGATTTAAAATAATTTATTGATTAATTAATTAAACACTTGCCACCTTGATACCATACCTGTTTTGCGCCGCGGTTGTTTGGATTAGGCAACATCCTTTTTGGTTTTGGTGGTCAGGTTTGCCCACGCCTTTCGCAACTGTTTGACTGATCTGGAACAGCTAACAGTTGCGGTCGCATTATACGCCACTGCTATCTGGCTATACAAAAAGTAGCCCTTATTTGCCAAATACAGGACTCAAGTGAATACAGAAACGACTGCTTCATAAATACAGCGAAAAGGAGTCAAATATAACAAAAGCGTGTCAGAAAACTATTGGTTAAAAGTATGCATAAAATCTGAACTTTACAATAAATTAAATGTGAACTAACACATTACATGTTAAAGCTAATGGAAAATAACTTAAAAATTGATTATAACTGAAATTCAGTCATTTGCCAGTCATATATCGCGACATATCTATTCTGTAAAGAATTAGACATTGATCATAATTTAAAATAAAATATAATTATTTCGTACAAAATATGTAGATTTTAGATAAGAATCATGATAATGGCATTTATCTCCTTAAATATGAAGCTTATAGGAATTGTAATTGTAATTATAGGTATTCTACTGTAATAAGCGTTAAAATCTCTATTAAATCGATATGTCACATATTAATTATGAAAAATATTACCGATAAAAGTGGTCACTGCGACCGAACCCAAGGTGACCGGACAATAAAAGTTACATATATTAGAACTCCTTGTGGGCTAGCGATGGTAGTGATGTTCTGGATGTAGAGTCTGGAGGAGCCGAACGAGTGCGACAATTGACGGCATTCAGTGTCGAGGTATCGATCGGGACGTGGGATGTGTTGGAAGCGATACCACTTGAGGTAAATGTCTTTGCAGTCAATGGCGTCCAACTGGTCGATGCAGACGTCATTGTAGGGACAGATGGTCTCGAAGACGGAAGAGTGGATCTCATGGCGGCATCGGTTGCGCCAGAAGTGGCGGTCAGTCCTCTCGACGTTCGCCACGGCTTTCATCCAATCGGTCGACACTCGCGACGACCGCATGAAGGCATAGCCCGGCAGACGTCTCACCACCTGTTCTATGACTTCGATGGGCAATGAGTCCATTGACTGCATTGGGGATCAGTTGGCGGTGAAGAAGTGGTCAACAGTTGGCAAGAGTTGGACACAAATGACCGCAATCTGTGAGACGAGCGATAGAACTGTGAATGCAATCACGAATCAAACACAACATCGAGTCATGTGTTTACCACATGTTCACAACAATTACGACACATTTGATTGCATTGAGATGTCTATGAAAGTGACCACTAAGTGGTCACTAATTACAGAATGCACTCCAGAAGGGCACTAATGGACAGTCCATGTGCTTATTGACAGTGGGGTGAGGGATGTGGTGGTAACGGACCGCACGTTACATATGATATTAGGTGTGAGTGTCATGAATATATACTATAAGTTTGTGAACTCTTTTAGAGGATAATCACTGGAATCTCACTATTTATGAGAAGTTTGACGACATGTGATATATCGCCGTAAAGGTCTCATCAATTACTATCAGAATATCTATGAATTAAATACTGTCTTATGTTTTTGGGAACGGTTTCAATGAATAATATGTAATCATTTGACGACAGTTTTGATAAGTTTAAAAAAAACTTATTAACAATTAAAAGGCGGTTCTTAGAAGTGATAAGAGGAAGGGTAGCAAATGGGTCTTCGGCACCAATTGATGGCTACTTTTTTGCAGCCGTCATGATATACTTGCCGCCAAACGCGTTAGAAATTTTAATTTCAATTTCAATTAACTTTTTTTACTGAACGAAATAGCTGTAAAAATATCAATTTGTTAATTATATATAACTCTCATAACAAATACATGTGCTATGAAATGGATTTTTGGCGCAAATAGAGCACTGGTAGCTCTGATGTTGTCGACTATTTGGTACTGGGGTACAGATTGCTTTACCGTACGGGTGGGCCTACACTAAGACTAGTCCCGAGGAAACTACAGCCTTCACGGCAATGACAACAGATTACATGTTAAAGCTAATGGAAAATAACTTAAAACTGATTATAACTGAAATTTGCCAGTCATATATCGCGACATATCTATTCTGTAAAGAATTAGACATTGATCATAATTTAAAATAAAATATAATTATTTCTTACAAAATATGTAATTTTAGATAAAAATTGTGAAAATGGCATTTATCTCCTTAAATATTAAGCTTATAGGAATTTTATTTATTCCACCGTAATAAGCGTTCAAATCTCTATTAAATCGATATGTCACATATTAATTATGAAAAATATTACCGATAAAAGTGGTCACTGCGACCGAACCCAAGGTGACCGGACAATAAAAGTTACATATATTAGAACTCCTTGTGGGCTAAAATCTCTATTAAATCGATATGTCACATATTAATTATGAAAAATATTACCGATAAAAGTGGTCACTGCGACCGAACCCAAGGTGACCGGACAATAAAAGTTACATATATTAGAACTCCTTGTGGGCTATCATATCCAATTAACAAGTTAAAAATGCCACCTTACTTGTTAGCTAATTCATAATGCTTTTAGAACATTAAATCTTTGAATAGAGTTGCAGTTCTAACTGAAACTAAATCTAATGATTAAAATTTATAAGATTTATCAATATCTTTATAGTTGCTATGAATGCATGCATTTGTGTAGTGTATTGCAGTCATTCACATCGTGTTATTAATACAGTATTATATGATATTAAAACCAGATATGTTACAAATGGATCAAATGTAGCCACAAATAAAGTATCCAATGTTCAGCATAGTTGTAGCATGGTCATTTCAGGATACTGTGTGTAACTGTACCTGTCCACTTGTGACAGTGTGTTTAGTTGATGTGAGAGTGATTTATAGGGTATGCCATTAAGAGTAATGATCATAAAGTGTGGTCAGTGTGAGGGATGACCACAACTAATTATACGAGCAAACAGTGCATTCAAGTCAAGCAGTGACTTATGAGTGGCTCTATAGCGCACTCCCATTCACACGTTCACTGCATTCAAAGTTTGGCGCCCACTCTCTCACTCTATGGCACGTTATTTATGAATTCAACACTATTTATGGTAATAATAGTACACTTATGGGCGCACTTTTGTAGACATATCGTTCAACAATCGTATGTATTCAGTGAACAGACATTTTCAGCACCAATGTTTGTTAGGCAGTGAAGGGAAAGGGAGGGCAAAGGCAGTGGCCTTTTGTTCAGTTGACAGAAATAAATGGCTTTTTCACTGCAAACCATTCACTTCACGACAACACTGTATTGAACACTGTATTGAACACTGTATTGAACACTGCATTCAATAACACAGTCTGTGCTCTCGATTGAGAGATCACTCGAACGAATGAATGCATTGAATGACTGAATGACTGAATGACTGGTGAATGCATTGGATATAAAAGTGAACACAAAAACAAAAACATAAATAAAAAGTATTTTTCTGATTAACAGTGAATTGATTGCAGATATAGTGAGCCATTGAGCCATCAGTGAGTGATAGTGAGTGCAGATGTAGTGACAGATCCGGTGTTTGTATGCTTTCATTGATGGCATCAATGGTGTTATGAGTGGCGGTTGCGGTCGTCCAACGCATCCCATGGTGTGACTCAATACAGACGACGTGGTGATGATATGTCTGCCGAAGAGCTCATGGATTACGAGGACATGTCGTTGCCAGAGATGGTCGGTGTGTCCGGCGGTCGGCCGTCGATGACCGACACGAAGCCAACGGGTCTGTTGTCTGCGGACATCAAACCAAACGCTAATACTTTGCGCACAAACTCTGCTCTCATTGGCTCCCAAACGATGGCTAATAAGGACTCAAACAATGCAAACAACACCTCAAACGCCAACACCAGTCGACTGAAGACCGCCGTGTCTTCGGTGCCGAGGAATCGCTTCGTATCCCGCGTTCCCATCGCTAACGACGGTATCACTGACTCATTCATACCATTCATACCTATTGTCTGATTATCTGTTAATTGATTGGTTTGTTTGCGTGAAGGGATGGGCGTCTGTCTCCGCTGTCAGAACGTTGGAGTGAAGGACACCTTCTATGGCAAAGGGAAGCAGTACTGCAGCGCTAACTGTGTCCGAGGACTGCCCCCACAGCCGCCACAAACACCTCTCTTTAAGATCGTAACACTTCCGGCCACTAAACCTAAGATTATCTCCAAAACCAATGTCAATGTGACCCCAAACCAAGTGCTGACGCCGGCACCCATCCACGCGCTCAGCGGTTCTCAACAAATGCCGGCGCAGATGAAGAAGAAGCCGCAGCCAATCAAAGTGACGCAAAGCAACATAAGTTCGGCCAAAAAGTCGCCGAAGAATGTGACGAAAGCGGGCGGACACTACTGTTTCGATTGGATATCCATTGTGACGGACAGTTCCATGAGAGGGGCGCCCATCAGTTCCTTCCCTCACGCGCCTATGGCTGACACTTGGGAATCGCTCGTCACTATTGGCCTCAAACTGGAGGTCAAGAACAGAGACTTCCCCTCTTCTAAACCCAATCAGGAGTTCCATTGGATCGCAAGCGTCGTAAAGATCGCAGGTTTGCCACCACTTCTTGCGTTGAAATCTCTTTTATGGTATTAATGGAGTGTTTGATTGAATGGTTAGGATATATGGTTCAGTTGAGGTACGAGGGCTTTGGCAGTGACTCGAGCAAAGACTTCTGGATCAACATATTCACGACTCAAGTACATCCGGTCGGGTGGTGTGCGTCTCAGGGCAAAGCACTCATACCTCCGAAGACCATTGAAGATAAGAATCCCGATTGGAAGGGATTTCTAGTGAAACGTCTGACGGGTTCGCGAACACTCCCCGAGAACTTCGCCGAACAGGTGAAGGAGAGCTTACGGACCAGGTTTCGGATCGGCATGAAGTTGGAAGTGGTCGACAAGAATCGCATTTCCGCCGTAAGAGTGGCCACTATTGACGATATAGTCGGCGGACGTCTTCATGTGAGTTACGAGGGATCTGAAGATATCGACGAAGGCTTTTGGTGTCACCAGAAGTCCAATTTAATACATCCCGTGGGTTGGGCTCAAGTGGTGGGCCACGAGTTGAGGGCCACTCCCGAGTACGCCAGGAGTTCGCTGCAGAAGTCACTCAGCAAACAGTTCGATGAGAACGACTGCACGTGGAATCTGTTCCAAATGCCGCCCGCCATCAGCACTGAACACCGATTCAAAGAAGGTTTGGGTCACTCATTGGTAGCATTTTTCGTGTAATCTCTAACATTGTGTGTAATTTGTGGTCAATAGGCATGAAATTGGAGGCAATAGATCCGCTAAACCTCTCGACCATTTGTGTGGCGACAGTGACTAAAGTGTTGCGAAATAACTATTTAATGATTGGCATCGACGGCATGATGTCGCCCAACGGCTCCGACTGGTTCTGCTATCACGCCACCAGTCCATGCATTTTCCCCGTCGGCTTCTGTTCGCTCAATAAACTCCAGTTGACTCCACCCCGAGGTTTGACTCCCTTTCCATTTCAATTGAAATATCGTAACAACACTTTACTAAATGAATTGCATTATAAAGGTTACAAAAGTGAGTTCAATTGGTTCCAATACCTCAAAGAGACCAAATCGAGTGCAGCACCGGTGCCTCTGTTTAAGAAAGACATTCCAAAGCATGGTTTTAAGGAAGGGATGTATGTGGAGGCGGTCGACCTCATGGAACCGAGACTCATATGCGTGGCCACAATCACCAAAGTTGTGGGACGCCTACTAAAGGTACACTTTGCCGGTTGGGACGAGAGCTATGACCAGTGGTGCGACTGCGAGTCGCCCGACCTCTTCCCAGTGGGCTGGTGTCAGCTCGTGAACTACCCGTTGGAACCGCCAAAAGACGAGGACTCCACTGGTCTTCAAAACCTTACGCCAAATGAAACGAACAAAAGACGACGAAATATAATAAGAAATCGCTCTCAAAAACGTATGCCTTTCCATCCTTTGGCACTTAAATGTGAAGTAATTTTGTATTGAATGTGAATTACAGGCAAAAAGCGTTTGTCTCCCACGATATCCGGCAAAGAATTCATGGAAGACTCGACCGCTTCTCCGTTTGCCTCCGATTGGATCCAATGTCAAGACGACACCATATCCTCCTCGTCCTCGCTGTCGGTCTCGTCGTTGAGTTCAGTAACGATCAAACCGTCGCCAATCATAAAGACGACCTCCGATTCGGTGGATTTGGACGGAGACCCCCGGGTGTGGACGTATCAAGACGTGGCGCACTTTCTCAGCCAAAACGATTGCTCCGCGTATTGCGAATCGTTTATCGTGAAAGTAAACCATTGCTTATGATTTGATGCACTTTTTGTTGTGTTTAACGCAAGTGTTGCTAATGTGTTGCAGAAAATAGACGGCCAGAAGTTCTGTGCGCTGAACCGGGAAGACCTGATGGAACTGACGCTCATGAAAGTGGGGCCATCCCTCAAGATTCACGCCTTAATACAATCACTGAATAATAAGAAATATTAAACAAATTTATAGTTTCTATGAAACCCTGTAATGAGTTCTGAGATTGAGTTTTTGAGTCCGAATCGTAAGATTGAAATTTGCAAACAAATTATTATTATATAAGTTAGAGTAAAATTTGTTAATAATGTTTGCTTCCGGAATCGCTATTATATTATTATAAATGTTAACTAAAATTATATTTAGTTATAATAATGAATCATTAATGATGTTTATTCTCATAATTAAAGCATGTGTTCCTTTGGATAATATTTTAGTTAATATTATCGGATATATCATTGAATATATAATATTTTGTGTTAAATATTCATTTGGAAATCGTAATTATATTATTTGCAGTTTACTTTGTACCCCATTTTCATTGACATTTTCGCTGCTTTTATGAAATGTCTTCGTTTTCCTTTCATTTCTTAGTTTTGTATTTAAATTTATTATTATTTCTGATTTCTACTAATAAATAAATTAAATATTTTACTGTTATTTTATGGCATTTTATTTATTGTCCATTCAATGATTATAGTTTCTATGATAATCTATTATACAATAATCAATACAGGTAAGTATATTTTTATGATGACTTTTATGATTAAAGTATTGAAAAAACGTATATTTATATTACGGTACTGGTAATAATTAGTTGTTATTTTCTATGCAATTGTGATGGAAAATTATTTCATATTATTTTACTGTATTTGAAAAACTACATTGTTTACTCAACTAAAATGTCTTTTATAATATAATCTAATTTTGTCCTCAATTGGTTGATATTGAGCGTAAAGTGCGTCAAATATATGACATCAAAGATTTCGATGAATAAAACAATAAACGCTATGATATGACCCATAATTAGTAAATAAAAGAAACTCTGAATTTGTCCCAAAGATTCCCTGTCCTCCAAATGGTTATCATTTAGATCTTTCCTACTGCTGTTTGACATCAGTCTTCGGCTCTCACTTAACATCCAGTACTCGAAAAATCCGCTCTCTTTTAGTGAAGTTATGCTATAAAACAAATGCAATCAAATTAACTTTAATTTTCTAATAATAGGCTATTTTTGCGCACATTTGGTCGAATTGGTGTTTGTATTGAAAATTCTTTCGGAAACCAATGGATAGGAAATCGAGGAAAAACGTCGACTCCTCAGTGAGTTGTGACAAATGAAAGGAACGGTCGCCGTATAGAAAGGCTACGAATTTCAGGTAATCTCTCGATGTTATGAATGCGATGGCCTCTTGAGACCTAATCACTGATCCAATGACTGATTCCTCATTCATCACTATTTCAATATAATTGCCAATCTCTTGATATAAACTAAACTCGGATTTCTTAATTCAAAAATGTTAGCTATAAGTTATAGCCTATAACAAAAACTTAATTTATAAGATAATAAATACTTTGATCAGATCGGCAGCACTGGAACTCCTATCAGTCTGAACACGAATTTTGCCACTTCTTAGAGCGTCGGCTAATTCATCGATTGTATCGACGGTTTTACTCTTTAAAGGGAAAGTCATGAGAGAGTACAGGCATTGNACGGTTTTACTCTTTAAAGGGAAAGTCATGAGAGAGTACAGGCATTGACTATAACTTGCTGTCAACACAAGACACGACAAAATCCAAAAGAATAACATTGTCTTCAATGATAGCAGAGGTGGTAAGTGACAAGAAATCGGTTGCTTTAATAGTATTGATATTAAACACCAATTGAGATGTAGTCTACCAAACGAAGTGTTATGTTTGAACAATATTTTGACATACGATAAGACAAATAAAAGAGATATAAAACAGAGAAGCCATGTCCAGAGATCAAAAACATCGAAAACGATCTCGAAATTGGTTTTGGCTTTTGGTATTGAAGTCATAAAAGTGACAGAAGTTATAGTAAAGGGATACGAGAATTGTGCGGCTTGTGAGCGCTCGTATGTCAACGATAGTTCTGATAAACCAATGTCTGCGGTCTATAAATAGATTGAAATATTATTTTATACAATAGCATACTGTACTTGGTGTAATTAAAAATAATTTTTACAGACCATAGACTGCAAGTGTCCAATTATGCCCGTATAGGACTTGTTAGGCAATAGAGTTCCCCAATCATTGTTACAATTGATTGGTGTGTAAGTAAAGTTAAAATGTTGGCTGAAAGTAGTGAGAAGTTTGAATTCAGTGCCACCGGTCAACAGCCAACTCTTGTTATTGGTTTCATATGTCATGAAAATATACGGAGGATTCTGACAAACAAATGAGTTTTTAATTAATTTTGGCAAATGAGTCAATAAGTAAACAATTAACAATATATAACCTCATTGACGGCCACGTTGATATTGGTCGCATTCAGATTTAACATACTTTCACTTTTTTGTTATCAATAGTTTTCAAATATTCTTAAAAGCAAATCTTTATCTAATAAATATTATATAAGTTGCTGGTTTGTGTGCTAAAATGTATTTTATTTTATTAATAAATTAGTTATTGGTTAAACAAGAGTTATAATCAAGTAACAAATGTAACCATTAATTGTTATAACCGGTATAAACTAATTTGATTTTGATTTGTAAGCAAATTTAGTATTTTATTTATATAAATATTTGATGTTTATAGCAAATCCAATAAATATTTCAATATTAATCGATTAATATTTAGATTACACGATCAATTATATCCGATCAGCAGTTTTAAAGTAATTGTTAGAAAAGGGAATGTATTCAATTGTAATGTAATGTATCATTACAGTACATTAATATATTATTAGAAAGCATACTTGCTTACTCATATAGAAATCACACGCTGATATTAAGGTAATAATGTTTTATATAAAACACACTTTGTAATTATGATTTTAAAAATGTTCTCATGTATTGATATAACAAATAATTAAATATAAAATGATCTATAATATAAAATTTAAATAAGCTTTTTAAATTACAATATAATAGAGCCAACTCTATCCAGAATATTCATTATCCTGGACACTATCTTTAGCTTTCCGTTTATGACCAGAAAATGCGGAACAGACTAAAATCCGCTGATAAAAGCACAGGTAGTCTGTCATTAGGTTATAGTGTTGTTCAAACATTTGTCTGAAAAAGGATTTTGTCGTCACATCTGTAATCGCATCTAATGTTTGGGATTTGAATTTCCAATAAGAGCTGAAATCACATTTATATTCATAAATGACATTCAAATGCAATCAAACTAAGTCTTATACCAACAAAAGGCTCGGATTTTACTGAACCCGAGGTTTGAGTTTTGAATGGCAATCAAATTCATTTTGAAATCACTCCTCACTTCCGTTAACTCTTTATCATATTGTCTGATATGAATGGCATTCCGTATGAACTCATCCCTACTTCTCTCGGAATCGCAGTAAAAGGCATTTTGTTTGTGAATCTGGTTTTGAGCCAAACTGAACGCCAACCGACAGATCATATTAAAGGTATACCTTCGCACCACATAGTTATGGATGATCTCCCGGCGCTCCTCCCGTTGCCTATAATAACAATAAAGAAGGCTTTCCTTAAAATCGCTAATCTTTTTGTGCGTAATACTCGCAAAACGTATCCATAGTCTCATTAGTGTCTGGGAGTAAACCGCTTGTGAGTCCGAAAGCAATTTTCAAGGCTTTGTCCGCATCGGTAGTCTCTTTAGGTGTGGGCTCTATTATACTGTAAGCTTTGAACACTTTTGTGAAAAACCTATTGGTCCTCGAAATTGGCTCCAATTGATTGCCAAATACCTCATCAAATGCTT